TTTAATTAAATCAATATCTATTTTTATAGCAGACTTTCTCTTCTCAACTGTTATTAAAAAACAAAACAAAAACTACTAAGCCTATATATATTAGCCTGTTTCTATTCGTGTGCTATGAGTCACACATGTAAACTGGAACAAAGTGACAGTGAGGGCACTGACATCATAGAGAAGGGCAGTGAGAACACGCTGCTCATCCCTCAGATCACAGAGCTTCCCCCAGATTCTGGAACAATATGATTTTAGAACTAAATGATCCTCTTAAATCTCTCTTCACTCAATATTTTCTCTTAAAATGCTTCACTTCTAGGGAAATTTCTCACCATCTTGAGGGGTCAGTAGGACTCAATTATCATGGGTCTAGGGAAAAAAAAAAATCAGGCTTAAGATGTATGTCATGGTTTGAATTATGTCCCCCAAAAAATGTGTGTATCAGTTTGGCTGGGCCATGATTCCTGGTACTGTGTGATTTTCCTATTTGTTGTAAATCCTGCCTCTATGATGTTAATGAGGGAGGATGGGTGGCAGTTGTGATAGTAAGGCAGGACTGGATCTACAAGACTGAATTGTGTCCTGAGGCAATCTCTTGCGATATAAAAGACAGAAGTGAGCAGAGAGACAGGGGGACCTCATACCATCAAGAAAGCAGTGCTGGGAGCAGAGTGCATCCTTTGGACTGGGGTCCCTGCGCCGAGAAGCTCCTAGTCCGGGGGAACACTGATGAGAAGGCCGACGGAGGAAAAAAAGCCTTCCCCAGGAGCTGACACCCTGAAATTGGACTTTTAGCCTACTTTCATTGTGAGGAAATAAACTTCTCTTTGTTAAAACCATCCATTTGTGGTATTTCTGTTATGGCAGAACTAGATGACTAAGACAATGTATCTGGGTATAGATAGCTTGCAGACCACCTTCCTTTCCAGGAAATATCAGTCTCCAAGGTCTTTGTGTGGCACAAACACTTTGCACTTGACTACTAACAGAAAGGTTGGTGGTTCGAACCCACTGAGAGGCACCTCAGAAGACAGACCTGGTGATCTGCTTCTGAAAGGTCACAGCCTTGAAAACTTTATGGAACAGTTCTACCCTGCACCCATATGGTCACCATGAGTCAGAACTGACTCAATAGCAACTAACAACAACTAACCAAAAGGTTGGTGGTTTGAATACACCTAGAGGTACTGAGGAAGAAAGGCCTGGTGGTCTGCTTCTGTAAAAATTACAGCCAAGAAGACCTTGTGGAACAATTCTACTCTGTAACACATGGGGTAACCATCAGTCAGAACTGACTAGATGGCAACCAGTCTGGTATTTTTGGTTTTCGGGTGTCAGGCAACCAGTTTGGTGTTTTTGGTTTTGGGGTGTCAGGGCAAGGAATATGAATTAAGGGAGGCCCCTTAAATTCCAGCTGACATTCCAGGGCTCCCATTCCAGTTGCTCAGGTACCTAGTTAGCATTTTTTAAAAGTTCTATGCTTTAAAGGATAGAAGGAATACACAGAGTCATTGTACCAAAAAGAGCTGGTTGCTATTCAACCATTTCAAGAGGTAGCATATGATCAGGAACCGATGGTACTGAAGGAAGAAGTCCAAGCTGCACTGAAGGCACTGGCAAAAAACAAGGCTCCAGGAATTGACGGAATACCAATTGAGAGGTTTCAACAAGCAGATGCAGCACTGGAAGTGCTCACTTGTCTATGCCAAGAAATTTGGAAGACAGCTACCTGGCCAACCGACTGGAAGAGATCCATATTTACGCCTATTACCAAGAAAGGTGATCCAACCGAATGCAGAAATTACCAAACAATATCATTAATATCACACACAAGTAAAATTTTGCTGACGATCATTTGAAAGCGGCTGCAGCAGTATATACACCGGGAACTTCGAGAAATTCAGGCGGATTCAGAAGAGGACGTGGAACCAGAGATATCATTGCTGATGTCAGATGGATCCTGGCTGAAAGCAGAGAATACCAGAAAGATGTTTGCCTGTGTTTTATTGACTATGCAAAAGCATCCGACTGTGTGGCTCATAATAAATTATGGATAATATTGCGAAGAATGTGCTCATAAGGAACCCGTACGTAGATCAAGAGGAAGTTGTTTGGACAGAAGAACGGGATACTTCATGGTATAAAGTCAAGAAAGGTGTGCAACAGGGTTGTATCCTTTCACCATACCTATTCAATCTGTATGCTGAGCAAATAATCCAAGAAGCTGGACTATATGAAGAAGAATGGGGCATCAGGATTGGAGGAAGACTCATTAAGAATGTGCACTATGCAGATGACACAACCTTGCTTGCTGAAAGTGAAGAGCATTTGAAGCACTTACTGATGAAGATCAAAGACTACAGCCTTCAGTATGGATTACACCTCAACATAAAGGAAACAAAAATCTTCACAACTGGACCAATAAGCAACATCATGATAAACAGAGAGAAGACTGAAGTTGTCAAGAACTTCATTTTACTTGGATTCACAATCAACATTATAGAAGCAGCAGTCAGGAAATCAAAAGACACATTGCATTGGGAAAATCTGCTGCAAAAAACTCTTTAATGTGTTGAAAAGCAAAGATGTCACCTTGAAGGCTAAGGTGTGCCTGACTTAAGCCATGGTATTTTCAATCGCATCATATGCGTGCGAAAGCTGGACAATGAACAAGGAAGACCAAATGAAGAAGAACTGACGCCTCTGAATTGTGGTGTTGGCGAAGAATACTGAATATACCATGGACTGTCAAAAGAATGAATAAATCTGTCTTGAAAGAAGTACAACCAGAATGCTCCTTAGAAGCAAGATGGCAAGACTACATCTTACATAGTTTGGACATATTGTCAGGAAGGATCAGTCCCTGGAGAAGGACATCATACTTGGTAAAAAGTACAGGGTCAGCAAAAAAAAGGAAGACCTTCGGCGAGATGGATTAACACAGTGGCTGCAACAATGGGCTCAAATAAAACGATTGTGAGCACGGTGCAGGACCAGGCAGTGTTTTGTTCTGTGGTGCATGGGGTCACTAGGAGTCAGAAGTGACTCGACGGCACCTAACAACAACATGCTGAAAGAGCCTCAAAAAAGATGATTAATTGTATTCTTCTGCAAACATAACTGGGTGAGGGAATGTGCTTAGGTTTGTTCAGGTTCCTCACTACTAAAGTGCAAAGGGCACAGATACCTAGTGGGAAGGAAATGAGGAGCCAGACGCCCAGGGTTCTGCTTGAGGGACAAGCCCTGGGGAGCTGGGCAAGCCCTTTCACACTTCAGAAAGGATTCCTCATCTGTAAAATGGGTGGCCAAAACAGATTAACGTCCCTTCCAACTCTGCTACTCCTTCAGTCTCAGTGGCTCTATTGACAGTGATGTCTGTGGTGCTGGTTTTGAGTATACGGGGCCGAGTTCAACAAGGCGCATGACCACATGGACCCTAGCAGCTCCTCCTACACAGATGTGTGTGCAAGGGAAGGAACCCTCAATGCCCAAGTGCAATGAGCTGAAGTGGTCACTGGAAACTGCCAAGTCATTGGGCTCTCTCCTCAGTTTCTGAAGGCCACAGAAAGTCCCACTGAAAGGAAATCTACCTGGGTGCTGGCAGCTCACTGGTGCCTCAGAGCTGGAAGGCTGTCTGCTTCTTATGGATCAGGCTAATACTTAATGCCCTGATTCCTGAGTTAAAGTTTAGTCCAAGATTTGGTCCTGAGCTTCTTGGGACTGTCAACACTCAGAAGACCATCACTGCTATAGATAGAAACATTTTGCTGCTGTGGAGTTGGCCGTGACTCATGGTGACCCCACGTACAACAGAATGAAACACTGCCTGGTCCTATATTGATAGGACAATATTCTGTTGTAATCCATAGGGTTTTCATGGGCTGATTTTCAGAAGTAGATCTCCAGGCCCTTCTTCCTAGTCTGCCTTAGTCTGGAAGCTCTGCTGAAACCTGTCCACCATGGATGACCCTGCTGGTATTTGAAATACAAGTGGAGCAGCTCCCAGCATCATAGCAATGCAAAAGCCACCATAGAAATGGTGGTGGAAAAAGTTTAGGGGATACATTTTCCAGCTTTTACTCATAAGCCACTTTCCCAGTTCAGCATTCTTATTTGGGTCAAAGGTCATTTGTGCAAGTCTGATTTGGAACACTTCTGTCTCACACTTGAACTCACATGCCCTTTAACAGTGGCTTTAAAGAAGCAGCAGAACTCCCCAAAAGAACTTTTCCGTCCTGGTGCAAGACCTATAGATAAGAAAATTCCCTATTTCCCCTGGTCTTACTCGCCCTTATAGTACCTAATTCTTTGGGTTGAACCAAAAACCAAACACTTTGCCATAGAGTCAACTCATAGCGACCCTAGAGGTCAAAGTAGAACTGCCCCATAAGGTTTCCAAGGCTATAAATTTTCACGGAGGCAGACTGCCACATCTTCCACATCTTTCTCCTGCAGAGCGACTGGTGGGTTCCAACCGCTCACCTTTCGGCTAGCTGCCCGGCGCGTAACCAAGCAGCCAGGAGCCTAACTACTCTACTACCAGGGCTCATTATTCTTTGTGTTGATGTCTCTGAAAAAAGGTTTTGGAAGCAAAAAAAAAAAAAAAAACCAAACCCACTGCCCTCGAGTCAATTCCAACTCCTAACGACACTGTAGGACATAGCAGAACTGCCCATAGGGTTTCCAAGGCTGTAAATCTTGACGGAAGCAGACTGCCACATCTTTCTCCCGCAGAGAGCTGGTGGGTTTGAACTGCTAACCTTCTGGTTGGCAGCCGAGCGCTTTAACCACTGCGCCACAATCCCCTTCTCCCACAAGGATTCTAGAGCTGTTCCCCAGGGCGGCGGAGGCTGCAAGCCCCGGACCATCCAGTGGGTGGGTGAGATTCCAAACACCGCCCCCGGCCCGTCGCTGCTTCTGGATCCCGGCCTGCAGCGCCGTGACAATTCTCCCTGAGCCCGCCCCGCGCCTCTCCTCAGGTTCCAGCCTCGCCTGGGGTCTCTCCTTACCCGAGCGCTGCCCTGAGCTGCTCGCGGGAACCCAGGTCTCTGGGCACGTTCCGCCACTCACCGACGCGACCCAAGCACGCCGACCCCGACCGCTTCTTGCTGCAAGCACTACGGGCCTCTGGCCAGCTGCAGTCGCCGTCGCCGCAGGGTGGCTGGCAGCCCAGACAAGAGGCAAGGGGCCTGGGGCTTCGCAGCGCGTTGGCTTCGCCCTCTGTCCGCCCCGCGCGGTCTTATTGGCCCAACTTTCTCCTCCCCCGCACTGCGGAAGGAGTGGCTGGGGAGGAGCTTGTGCCCGCCGGCCACCCACAGGCAGCCGCGGCTCCGCACGCGTGAGGCTTCTGCGCACCTGCTCTCTCCAGGGCCGGTGGTCCCGCACCTTGAATGCGGGTAATTTAACCCTCATCCAGGTGGATCCAAATAGTGCTTGCGGCGGGTGGTGTGTCCACCTACAGCCCAGTTCCTATTCTCAGCATCAAAAGATCTGTTCCCTTCCTGATTCACCTCACACCACATTCAACCTTCCTTGTTTCACCATGTTTGGAGTTACTCTGCTCCCATCTATAATCTGCAATGCTGCGCATTTTAAGCATTTTGCAACTTTGTAGGTTGCCGTTAATTCACATGTTGTATGGGCTATGCTCGCGGTTGGAAGGTCTGCCACTGCTTTAGTTTCATATTTCCGTGAAATTACAATGAAGGACAATCAGGTACATGGCTCATGGCTGGGGGAAATGGTGCAGCAAGGGATCATCTCATAGCTCAGTTTAAATCCGAGTTATTCGGGCTTTAACTGAAATTCCCTTTCATTTTCAAATGCTTTCTCCTAAACCCACTTTCTGATAAATTAAAAATAGTTTAAAGTTTGAGTTGATGACTCAGGGAAAATAGTATGGAATTCATCTGTGGTGGTGGTAATTATTTACTTATTTTAAAAACTGGTTTGTGCTGAATGTAAATGGACTAAATGCACCAAACAAGAGAGAGTGGCAGATTGCATTTAAAAAATACCACCTGTCTATATGCTGCCTACGAGAGACACACCTTAGACTTAAAGACACAAACTAAAACTCAAAAGATGGAAAAAAATATATATAAAGCAAATAACACTCAAAAAAGAGCAGGAGTGGCAATATTAATCTCTCTCAAAATAGACTTTAAAGTAAAATCCACCACAAAGGATAAGGAAGGACACTATATAATGATTAAAGGGTCACTACACCAGGAGGACATAGCTATAATAAATATTTACGCACCCAACGACAGGGCTCCAAAATACATAAAACAAACTCTAACAGCACTGAAAAGAGAGATAGACAACTCCACAATAGTAGTAGAAGTCTTCAACACACCACTTTCAGTGAAGGCGAGTACATCCAGAAAGAAGCTCAAAAAAGACGTGGAAGATCTAAATGCTACAATCAACCAACTCGATCTCATAGACATACCGAACACTCCACCCAACAACAGCCAAGTATATTTTCTTTACCAACGCACATGGAACATTCTCCAGAATAGACCACGTATTAGGCCATAAAGCAAGCCTTAACAAAATCCAAAGCATCAAAATATTACAAAGTATCTTTTGTGACCATAAAGCCATGAAAGTAGAAAGCAATAAAAGAAAAAGCAAGGAAAAAAAATCAAACACATGGAAACTGAACAACACCTTGCTCAAAAACTACTGGGTTATAGAAGACGTTAAGGACGGAATAAAGAAATTCACAGATCAAATGAGAATGAAAACACATCCTACCAGCACCTTTGGCACACAGCAAAAGCATTGCTCAGAGGTCAGTTTATAGCAACTAATGCACACATCCAAAAAGAAGAAAGGGCCATAATCAAAACATTAACTCTACAACTTGATCAAGTAGAAAGAGAGCAGCAAAAGAAGCCCTCAGGCATGAGAAGAAATGAAATAATAAGAATTAGAGCAGAATTAAATGAAATAGAGAATAGCAAAAATATTGAAAGAGTTGACAAGACCAAAAGCTGGTTCTTTGAAAAGATCAACAAAATTGATAAACCATTGGCCAAACTGACAAAAGAAAAACGGAAGAGGAAGCAGATAACCCGTATAAGAAATGAGATGGGTGATATCACAAGAGACCCAACTGAAATAAAAAG